GTAAATAATTTAAGGGCAATACAATCTCTGTTGCAACTACTCCACTCTGCTGTTGTAGCACAGAATTAGATTTAGATAATACATGAACTAATGACCATAGCTGTATTCTAGTAAGACTCATAAAAACTGATAGAGGCCTGAATTTTGCCTATAGGCCGTAACTTGGGAATCTCTGCTTTAGGCAGTCAGTTATCTTTAAAATAAATAAATAAACAAACAAATGAAACTTAATAGAGATATAATCTATATGCCATACAACTTACCTGTTTAAAGTATATAATTCAGTGGCTTTAGTATATTTAGCACAGTTGTAAAACCCTCATAACAATCAACTTTAGAACATTTTATTTTCCCTGAAGGAAATTTTATATCCCTAGCTGTCTACCTCTGATTTTCTCTTCAGATTCTTCATTCCCTGACCTCTCCCAATTCTAGACAACCACTCTACTTTCTGTCTCTATGGATCTGCCTATTCTAGAAATTTCATATAAATGGAATCATACAGTATATGATTCTTTTAGACCAGTTTCTTTCACTTCACATTATGTGTTCAAGATTCATCCATGTTGTACATATTTTAGTATTTCATTTACTTTTATTGTCAAGTAACATACCCATAGTGTATGGAAGATTTCAATTTATTTACATCTTTGCCAAGCTTGTTATTAATCTGCCTTTTTAATTATAGTCATTCTAGTGGGTATGAAATTATTTTTCTTTATGGTTCTGGTTTGCATTTCCCTATAATTAATAATGTTAAGTATCTTTTCATGTACTTATTGGCCACTTATATGTTGTCTTTAAGAAATATCTGTTCAGGGATATATGCTCAGTGGTTGAACACTTGTTTTGCATAGTTAATTTTTGTGTCTTTTATAAGGTTCCAGAATCATTTTTTGCATGTTGATATTCAGTTGCATCAGCACTATTTTCTTAAAACAGGATTTATTAAAAACTCTTTAATTTTGGTGGTGATTCTTTCTACCATTGAATTATTTAGGCATCCTTGTCAAAAATCAGTTATCATATACGTGAAGGTTTATTTCTGAACACTAAATTTTACTCCATTGATCTACATGTTTACTTGTACGCCAGCACCACATTTTTTAAAATTCATGTAGCTATATATGAATTTTGAAATTGGGAAGTGTGAATTCTCCAACTTTGCCCTTCTTTTTCAGTATTGTTTTGGCTCTTATGGTTCCATTGTTTTCAACATGAATTTTAAGATCAGTTTGTCATTTTCTCCATTGAAATTAGTTGGGTTTTGATAAGGATAAGTTGAATCTATAGATCATTTAGGGAAATATTGCCATCTTAAAAAATGTCTTCTGGATTTGGGATATAACTCAGTGGTAGAGAACATGCTTAGCCTGAGATGAGGCTCTGGGTTCAATCCCAAGCAATCAAAAAAAAAAAAAAACCTACTTCTGACCCATAAACATGGAAGGCCTTTCATTTACTTAGGTCATTTTTAATTTCTTCAATAATATTTTGTAGTTTTCAAGTATAAGTCTATTTATTTATTTCTGAGAATTTTAATTTTTTTTGATGATGTTGTAAATGGAATTTTTTTCCAAATTTTATTTTTATTCTTTGCTACTGTATAAGAATATAGTTCATTTTGGTATGTTAATTATGTATCCTGTAATCCTACTGAATTCATTAATTAGTTTTAATAGTTTAATATATTCCTTAAGATTTTATAAGGACAAGATTTTGTCTGAAATTGAGGTAATTTTACTTCTTCCCTTCCAATCAGTATTCCTGCTTAATTGCCCTGGTTAGACTCTTCAGTAAAGAAAAGGAAAGGAACATTATGGTCTAGCTCTTGATCTTTTGGGAAAATAGTATTTCACCATTAATGGTGTTAACAGTGTTTTTTAAAAAAATATTTATTCTTAAGTTTTAGGTGAACACAATATCTTTATTTTACATTTATGTGGTGCTTAGGATCAAACTCAGTGCCTCGTACATGCTAGGCGAGCACTCTACCACTGAGCCACAACCCCACCCCAACAGTGGGTTTTTAAAGATACTACTTATCAAGTTGAAGAAGTTCCTTCTATTCCAAGTTGTGTTTTTTTGTTTTTGTTTTTTTAATCATGAAGGGGTGTTGGAGTATGTCAAATGTTTTTCATTGTATATTGAAATGATTGTGTAGGTTTTATCCTTTATTCTCCCTATGTGGTGAATTACCAATTTTCATTTGCATTGTTGGGTTAAATCCTACTTGGTCATGTATATATTATTTTTTATATATTGCTGAATTTGACTTGCTGGTGTTTTGTTGAGGATTTCTTTATGTCCATATATGTATGTGATTCCTTGTGATATTATTTTGTTTTATTTTGGTAGTGGAGAACTATTGTTCTTATTTTTGTGTTGTAGTCCCTTATCTGTTTTCTGGAAGAATTTTTAAAAGAGTAGTTTAATTGTTCTTCTAAGTGTTCTTCTAAGTGTTCTTCTAAGAACTATACTTTTTTTTTTGGTTGGAAGTTTGAAGATTATTAATTTAATCTTTTTTTCTTGTCATAGATCTGTTCAGATTATTATTTTTCATCAGTTTTGTTAGATTGATTGTTTTTAGGTATTATTTATTTTATCTAATTTATTGGATATTGTTCATAATATTTCCTTATAGTCCTCTTTATTTCTTTAAATCAGTAGTAGTGGTCCTCCTTTAGCACTGATTTTTAGTAATTTGAGTATTTTCTTGACTAGTCTAAAGGTTGCCAATTTTGTTGATTTTTATGTGTGTGTGTGCAAAGAACTTTCAGCTTTATTGATTTTTTTTCCTATTTTTTCTATTCTCAATTATCTTTAAAAGATATTAAAGGTAAGAAGATTATCTTTTATATTTATTCATATACTTATAATTTCAGTAATCTTTTTTAATATATTTCATGTGGAATTATCCATACCCATGTAACTTTATTATTGTGTTTAACTTGGTTCTGTATAGAAAAAGTATTTTGTATAGAATTCTAGATTGCTGGTAGTTTTTTTCTCCTTCACTTCTTTAAAGATGTTGCTGTATTGTGTTATAGCTTAAATAGTTTCTGATTAAAAATATGGTATAACTCTTATCTTTCATTTCTTTTTACCTAGTTATTTTCCCTGACCCCCACTTTCTGATTTTCTAAGACTTTTTTCTTTCTCTTTAGTGTTAAGAAGCTCTAAAGTGTGTGGTTTGTTTTTTTTTTCCTTGCTTGGAGTTCATTAAGCTTTTGCATTAGTGAATTTAATGAATTTTAGAAGATTAATGAATTTTTAGAAGATTCTCAGATACTTTTCCTTTAATATTCTTTGGATCCTATTCTTTCTTTTCTACTTCTGAGATTCCAAATCCATGTTTTGTTTGTTTGATAATCTTGAATATGTTTGATCTGTTCTGATTTTTGTTTCTGCTCTTTCCTCTTCCTCTTTGTGTTTTACTTTGTATACTTTTGATCTGGGTCTGTGTCCATTCTATTCAGAATCCTATGTATATTTTCCTTCAGCTTTGATATTATAATTTTAAAAAATAATTTTCATTTGTTTTTATTATATGTAGTTTTTATCTCTGTGGAAATTTCCCACTTGTTTATAAATTTTCTCCAGCCTTATACCATATATTTCAACACATTAATCATATTTGTTTTAAAGTCCTTCTCTGATCTGGGCCACTTTTAGTTCTGATTCTGTTGACTACTTTAGTTCTTGAAAATGGGCTCTCCCTCTACTCTTGATCTTGTCAATATGTCTTGTAAATATTTGTTGAGTGGTGGATATTGTGTTTAAAGAAATAGTTGAGACTGAGATTAATATTGACTATGCCCAGAAATGGACACCTAATTTCCTGTCTTGACCATTAATGTGGATAGTGGTTTTGAAACCTGACTGGTCAATGGCTGAACTGGATTTAAATTGGGTTTGGGGCTTTGTTGTTGACGTTAGTTTCAACAAGCCACAGACTTTAAACTTTTCCAGTGGTTTTTATTATCTTGCGCTTTGTGAGGGATTTTGAGTACTAGAGGGTTTTTTCAGGATTCTTGCTCCACTCTTTACCTTCAGTAGTTTTGCACTCCTGCACCATGAGGGAATCTTGGTGCTGTCAGTGGTAGATTGCTGTTCCCTTGTACTTTATTCAAGGCTGGAGGGTATGATACTAGGTTCTCCCTTTGTAGTCTTAGACTGTGGCAGTCCTTGTATACCTGAGCGTCAGGGTGGATAGTTTTGTTTTTTTTTTAAAACAAAGAATAGAGGTTTATTTATTTATTTATTTTTAAATATCTTGTTTTTAGTTGTAGGTAAACATACACTATCTTTATTTTTATGTGGTGCTGAGGATGGAACCCAGTGCCTCACACATGCAAGGCAGGTGCTTTAGCATTGAGCTGAAGCCCCAGCCCAAAATAGAGGTTTATTTAGATCATGGTTCTGAAGGTTGAGAAGTCCAATATCAAGGTGCCAGCATCTGGTGAAAGGATCTTCTTGCTGCATCATAACGTGGCAGAGGGCATTACATGGTGAGAGAGAGCAAGCGTCTCAGGATGGGTTTCTTAATATTCTTGCATCTCCCCTTTTCCCCAACCTGTTCTTCCCTCCCACCCCTTAGCCTGGCATATCAGGAGAGCAGTACAAGACTCCTAATAATAGCAGATTTTTGCTTAGCATTAGTGTAACATTCTGAACCCAAGCAGATTTCAGCTTCTCTTCCAGTAGCAAATGACTCTTTTCCCTCCCTGCCGTCTTAGTGACACCTGACCTCTGCTAGTGACAGGTGGGCAGATGGCTTTTGTTTCAACTCTTCCCAGCAGCATCTGGAGGGCAAAGAGTAGGAAGGTTTCTATTTTATGTATTTAAAAGTCATCTGTGATGTCTTTCTATATATCATATTTAAATGTTGTCTCTTTAGAAGGTAGTTCTTGATGAACAGATGCTGAACCTTAGACTTTTAGAGAAGGATGCCTACTATTTGATTTTTATTGTAATATGCCAATATGTTTGTTTTCCAGCTTAGGTTTGATCTCCGACTCTTTTCACATGTTTTTCGATAGCACTGCCATTTTGGCTGGATTGGCAGCTTCTGTTATTTCAAAATGGAGAGATAATGATGCTTTCTCCTATGGGTAAGATTCTTAAGAAATCTTTTTCTTGAAGTATAAGGTAAACACATACGCAAAACACACAAATCTTAAGGTTGATGAGTTTTTACAAATTGAACATGGTTTTGTAACTTGAACCCTTGACATTTCCCTCCCACACCTCTTTTAGTTCCTTCCCATTCACTTCCCGAAAGGTACTCATTTTCTTAACTTGCCTGTTTTCAAATAATATGTAATTGGAACCTACAATATATAATTTTATTTGCAGCTAAATTCTTTTGCTGGTCAGTAGGCACTTGGTTTTACCAAAAACTTTGAGGTGAGATTGTTCTAGATAGAAGGATTTCCTTGAATAGGAAAAAGAAGAAAAGAAGCATGACCATTTTTATACACTGAAATTTTTTCTCTTCTGCCTTTGCCTTTGTCTACCTTCCTTTCATTCTCTCTCTCCCCCTTCCGCCCTCTCCTTATCCCCTCTTCCTCTCCCCACCTTCCTTTCTCCTCCCTTCTGCCCTCTCCCTTTCCTCCCTCCTCCCCAACCCCACTTCCTCCCTCCCTACAGCTCTGTCTCTTCTTGGGCCTGCACGCATGCATGTGATCTTTCTCTTTTCCTTTCCTCTTTCATACATTTTCTCTCTTTTTCCTTTTCTCCTGTCATTTCCTCTCCTTTTTACCATTGTAACTCTCAGGCTGTTTCTGTCTTCTTCCCTTCTTAACACTTCTGCTCAGTTTATTTTTTCTCTTATATTCCCAGTCTTTCTTTCTTTCAGCACTTCCTCCCTGAGGTCTCTCTTTCCCATGCAGTTTCTCTCATATATCTCTCTCCAACCTCTTATATGCATTCTCTTAAACACTTGTTCTTCTACTCTTGTTCCTTCACTGTTTCCGTTTTCCCTCAGCTTGTTTTAGTTCATAGCAAGCAACACATTCATTGTTTCACATGCTTCTGTTTTCTTCGGATATTTATTGAGGGTCGATTATAAGTTGAATACTTTGCTAGTTCCACTGAAGTAAAAATGAATAAAACATGGCTCCTGCCCTGAAGAAACTTATGGTTCAATAGGAAACGAGTTTTGTAAAAATACTGTAAATAGCCTATATTGTGACAAGTGCTTAAAGAGAGAGAGAAAATTCTGTGGTAGAATTTGATGATTTTAATTATAACAAGAGGAATATGGTTATTTGTAAAATTAAAAGTGAGGCAGAAATACTAATTATACTATTTTATATTATAGAGCAAGAGATTCTATATACCATAAATTCAGGCTTGAAAGTTCAGACAAGAACATTTCTGTGGCACTGTGTTGTCAATAATCAAATAATCTTGAACTATAGCTACTAAGAGATTCATAAGTATACTTTAATCATTAAAGGAAGATTAAATCTAAAGTTATAATTCTTGTTGGAAAATTAATAATTTATATGTATTGTATATCAGGAATCTAACAAGAATATCTTATTTAGCAATCTTTCTGGATAAACAATAGGTTACTATTAAAAAATTCTCTTCAGTTCTTAATGCTTAGGTTATCTTTTGTTTCCCATTTAGAATACATTGTTTCATGCTATAGAATAAATTTTAGGAAGAGATTTGAATCCCTATAGTACCATAATGATTTTAACTTTAGCTCATTCAAAAAGAGAATAATAGTCTTCCCTCATTTTAATTCCTCATTTTGTTTTCTCCATTGTATTTTTTCATTTGTTTATTTCTTTGTTTGTTCTTTTTGTAGATTAAGGAATGAAAGCTGATGTGATATTTGAAACTGAATAATTGCTATAGAATCTATGAATAATTGCTGTAGTAGTAAACTACTGGTGTCTGTACATAAAAATGACACTGAATAGGCTAAACCCAAGATGGCAAAGCCTAAGGGTAAATCTCCTTATATTCCCCAGTTCAAGGTGGTCATAATAGCAGATTGACTGTAGTAGAAAAAACAGTGGGTGAATCTAAGAGCAAGCCAAAACTTTTCAGTGTATCTTTATGGAAAGTCATTCTTGTGTCTTGTCACACTCTTCTTTTTAAAATAGTAAAGAAAGCATGAAAGTAATATACAGTGGGTAAATAGATGCATATATACATGCTTACATTCATATACTTATATCCTTCCCTCCCTGCCCGACTCAGAGCATTCAAACACCAGGCATTCTTAATTAGGCAGTAGCACTTTCATGGCTTATATGTTCTAATTCCAAGAACTGCTCTCAGTTCAAGTGAACATAGGCATATGTAAAGGCAAGTGTGCCTAGTTTAAACCTATACGTATAGCAAATATGGTAAAACTAATTATGTAACTTGAGTCCAACAATTTATCAGCATTTTTGTAGCAAAACTTTTAAGTTGGGAATTAGGAACAATTCTGAACAATGCCTGAACAACATTTTTGCCTTGGATCTTGAAATCTAGTGGCACTCAAGGACAAAAGGCATTCAGTTAAGCATTAGCTATGGAACTAGAAGGGTAGATTAAAAAAAATGCTTTATATTTTTTGGACAGTCATCCTACAACCTTCCATTACTTCTACCTAAGTGTAGATAATGGAAAGCTGACTTCAAATCATTTGAATTTAATGAGCATTTCTCCAGGGGGGAAAAATATACTTTATCAAATAGTATATTAATTTAATTGTATGTGTTAGGAGATAGAAATATGCATTATATCTGAGTATAGAGATACATGCTATGTTGGAATATGGTTGATAGGACAAATTCCACCCTAACGGAATAGCATGTATTTTAAGAGTTTCTTCTTCTTTAAAAATACTTTTACAGTAAAAATTGTATTATTTAGAAATTGACATTAAAAAGCTAGGAAAAGCAGTAGTTTTAATGCTCCTGTTATTCTGTTAAAGAACCAAAATAATTAACTAGAATCAGCATACTTTTAATAAAGTTTGAACATTAAATATGCTAAGTTAAAGTTGTTTCTGTGACTTTAACGAAGGCAGAAAACTGGAAAAATAAAATCTTTCCCCAATGCTTCACACAGGTAGGAAGCAGAAAGCTTCAGAAGTCCATGGAGAAAAAGACAGGTATTTTTAAAACAGTTTAATTAGAATTATATGAAGCTAGAATTGATTCTAAAAATAGGTAATTGCAAGTTTATGCTAAATTTATTAATCTTAGAAAAAGAGTAATAGAAATAGAAATCTCAAGTTGTCTCTGGGATAATTCAAGGATAATTTTATTTTACTTGAGATCAAAGCTCCTCTTTCCAAAGATTTGAAAGCTGAAAGATACAGAGAAGAAGGTATAAGGAGTTCTTCAGAAAGGAATAAATGAGTACTAAAACTTCCTTTTCCAAGACCTTTTCTATTACTATTTTTCTTTGGATTCTTCCTTCTTTGACCACTTGTCTGATCCTGTTCTTTTGCCACTGGCAACTTGAGATTTACATTTCTGTGAAAGGTCTTTCTAAACCTACTTACTCTAAAGAAGGTCTTTGGAATGGCTTGTACAAATCTGTGAGTTTTGTGGCATTCTGCTGTTAAACATAATTCATTATTATTAATTTTCTCATTTCTTCAATTTATGTAAAATGTAATATACTATAAATACTAGGACTTTGCTGGCATTAAAACCATGTAATATGGTTTGGAATCTCTGAAATGTAATTTGTGATTTAATTTTTTAAAAAATAACTTAATAAAGTAGTTATTTGCTTCTTTTTAGGTATGTTAGAGCGGAAGTTCTGGCTGGCTTTGTCAATGGCCTATTTTTGATCTTCACTGCTTTTTTTATTTTCTCAGAAGGAGTTGAGGTATACTATATAATGACTAGAATCAGTAAATTATATTTCTGTATAAAAATGTTTATAGCATATAATAGAGCTGTTTTTAACTTATTGATCACAGTCTTGAATTAGATAAAATATTTGTAAGCTGGAGGAGCTTGCAAAATAGTTGAAAAATATTAAATATATGTGAAACTTCTTGAAATGAATAACAATGAAACAATTGTGCTTACAAGCTATGAATAAAATAGTGACACTGTGAAAAGTAAAGGTGCAACCTGGGTAGTGAAGTCAGCTGGGAAGTGTTTTTAAAGAAAATAGAACCTCTGAGTTTTACTAGTGAATCTTTAATATTTATTATTTTTTAAATAAAGTGTAATAATTAGCAAACATATGGAGGGTATTATTTTATAATACCAAAGAGGAACATGTTTGGGGCCAAATATTTGCACTTAATATTTATTTAAAAATAGCAATGGTTGCTTTTTCTGAAATATGTTTTTTGAATGCTTTTAATTATGAAAATGACTAAAAAATGTTAATATTACTTTATATTTTTACCAGTTGATGGGTGAGAAATTATATCAATGCTGTTTGTTTGTTTGTGTGTTTTCTAGAGAGCATTAGCTCCTCCAGATGTACACCATGAGAGACTGCTACTTGTTTCAATTCTTGGGTTTGTGGTAAACCTAATAGGAATATTTGTTTTCAAGCATGGAGGTCATGGACATTCTCATGGCTCTGGTATGATGGTTAGAACCCTTTGTTTCTTCATTTTCTCCCAATTTCTATCATAATTATTTACTTGAGAAAATTGATAATTTAAAAAATTAAACTACATATATTGGTTTTTAATAACAAAAGTAATATGTCCAAAGATTTTTATTAATGTCTTCCTGAAATATCCTTCCTTCTTCTCCATGCCCCTCCAAGTGCTTTCTTAGAGCTATGAATGTTATATGTTTTGTATGGATCCCTTTAGACTTCTTTAGTTCTTTTGTGTAATGTCATTCATATAAAACAGATACCAGAAATCAACAAATCTAGTGTGTGTTGGCTCGTGCGCACATGCACAGCAGAGAGAGAGAGACATACACACACATTGATTTACTGTATCATGTTTTTGCAATCCTTCCATTAGAGAGAGAGAGAGAGAGAGAGACATTGATTTACTATATCATGTTTTTGCAATACTTCCGTTAAAATCCTTCAATTAACAGCCATATAAAACTCCATGGTGTGGGTCACTATGGTTTATTTAACCAGATATTCTGTGTATGACCTCAAGTTGTTTCAATTTTTTTCTCCAATCTATGCATATCAGGCTATCCTTGTGAATATATACAAGTGTTTCTAAAGTAGTATTGCCCTGTATTGTACTTCACATGTAGCTCTTTAAATTTGAATTTTAGTTAATTAAAATTAAAAATTTAGTTCCTCAGTAACATTCATAACATCTCAAATACTCTATTGCCACATGAAGCTACCATATTGGACAGTGCAGATGTAGAACATTTCCATCATTACAGAAAGTTCTTTGAATTCACTGTGCTAGATATAAGAATTGCGGGAACTTAGGATCTATACATTCATAGTTTCAGACATTTGCAAATTCCCTTTCAAAATGACTGTTAGTCACATATACTTTAAAGAATAAAAGCAAGTACTAATTTCTCCCACCCACATTAACACTTAATATTGGGGGTTTTTATACAGTTTTGTTAGTATTTTACTAAATAGTTTCTGATTTTGCTTAGTGTTTTTCTGATTAGTAGTGAAGTTATACTTCTTTCCAGTGTAATTTTAGGTCATTCAGACTTTTCTTTTAGAATTACCTATTCATATATTTTTGCCTATTTTTCTTTTTTTTTTCTTTTCATTTATAAATGTTTTTATCACTCTAATCCTTTGTTTTTTGTGTTACAAATATCTTCTTCTAGTCTATGGCTTGTCTTTAAACTTTAACAGGACTTTATTTGGATATAATCTAGTTTTTGTCTTGCATTTTTCTTGTCTGTTTTCTGCTGTGCTTAAGGAATATTTCTATTCTAGGGACATAAACATAATCATTTATATTTTAATGCTTTTCATTTTGGTTTGATGGGGTTTTCTACTCATTTTACTCCTTTATATGTAATTTATTTTTTTTTACAACGTGTGAGTTAGGACTTAACTTTTTCTTTTTTCCCCTTAGTATGAAAAGTAGTTTTCCTAATCAGCATTTATTAATTGGTCCTTAATTTTCTTTTCTTTAAATTAGAACATTGTAGTTATACGTTGTAGTTGGGTTCATCTCAAAAGATTCATAACATGCATGGAATTTGATTTCAGTTCATGTTTCCCCCTTTTTCCTATCCTCCTCTCATTCTGCTTCCTCTGTTCTGTTGACCTTCATTTCACTCATCTATTTATTTATTTTTGATTGTTTTTTTCCTACTTATACATAACCGTGAAATTCTCTGTGGTATATGTATATATACACATATCATGATTTTTAAAAAATTCATTCTGAATTTCTCTGCTTTCCCATCTCTCCTCTCTTTCTCAGTCTCCTTCTTCTATTCTACTGATCTTCCCTATATCTTTATGATCTTCAGTCTTCCCTCCTCCTTTCCTTTATTTTGCTCTAGAGTCCATATATGAGAGAAAATATCCTGTCCTTGATTTTCTGAGTCTGGCTTATTTCACTTAGCATGATGGTCTTCATTTCCATCCATTTACCAATAAATGCCATAATTTCATTCTTCTTTATGTCTGAGTAAAACTCCATTTTGTATTATACCACAATCTCATAATCCATTCATCTATTGATGGCCATTTGAATTGATTCCATAGTTTGGCTATTGTGAATTATGCTGCTATAAATATTGAGAAGCTTGGATTGCTACAGTTTGCTGATTTCAGTTCTTTTGGATAAATAAAAAGTAATGGGATCGCTGGTTCACACAGAGGTTCCATTTCTAGTCCCTTCTCTGAGGCTCTGTTCATTTTTCTTCATTTTTTCTGCTGATTTCTCAGAGTGGAGAATCTCTATTGACTCACCTTCAAGTTTCCTATTATTGCAGCTAAACGCTCTTGTTGAGTCCCTCTGGTGAATGTTGTACTTTGGTTATTATGCTTTTAACTTCAGAATTTCTCCCTCTCCCTCTCTCTCTCTCTCTCTCTCTCTCTCTCTCTCTCTGTAATTTCTGTATCTTTATTGATAATCTCTCTTCAGTGACTCATCATGATACATTCTTCAGGTTTCTTTTAGTTCTCTGAACAGGCTTATAATAGCTGATTTAAAGTCTGACTACTAAGTTCAAAATTTGGATCTCTTTAGAATATACTAGTTACTGCTTTTTTATTTGTGTATGGCATAATTTCCTGTATCTTTGCATGCCTCATAGTTTTTGATGAAAACTGGACATTTTTGATAATATATTGTAACAACTCTGCTATCGACAGAGGGCAACATTAGCCTTCCAAAATTTGTTGTTTTTGTTGTTGCTCTATTTCTTCTTGGGAGTCTTTTCTTGACTAATTCAATAGTATGTTTCCTGCAGTATGTGGTCATTGAGTTCTGTGCTAGTATTCTTGAAATTTTTAGATCTTGTTTTTATTTTTAACATGGTTTTCTAGGTAACCTGAGCCAGTATAATTTAGTAGTCAGCCAACAATTAGTGAGTTTTCCATAAATTGCTTGCTTGTAAATTTTCCATTTTTGCCAAATGCATCTTTGTGAGAAAACACACCTTTGTATTTCAGACAGTTTAAAAGGCAGCCTTATTTTATACTTTTTCCTTGCACAGGGTTTCCCAAGGTCAGTGAAAGATCAGAGGTGATTTCTCTTTTCTCATGTCTTCCTTGGAGATGTACAGAGCATGCATGCAGACTTTTAGATTCCCTAGGAATGTGTTGGTGCTTTTCAAAGTTCCTTATGGTTGTCTGTTTCTCTGAGATTTCCTCATAATTCTCAGGCCCTTGTTTGCCTCAGCTAACATCATAATGTTCAGCAGCTGAGATACTGCTTGGAATTTGCCATTGTTTTGATAATGCCCTGTCCCCCAACCCTCATCCTCCAGCTGAGCTGAAGTCTCTTATTAGAGTCTAAGATCCATATCATTGAAAGTAGATATTGTTCCAGTGAATTGCAAGTTTAGAAAAAATTTTAACTGTGCTTTGGTGCTTTAACAAAGCAACAGAAGACATCTGATCTCTTCATTACCTATAATCCTACTGGCTTTTGGCTACTTTATTCATGGATTAGCGAGAGTGATGGAATGTGAACCATTCCAAGTTACATCAAATGTTGTATCAACAAGATTTAGATGTTTCTCTTAGATCATGGTTTTCAGTTTATGCTATGGTTTTGATTAATTACCAGAGTTCTGAAATGGTTATTTTGTAGTTGTTTTCCCTACATTTTTGTTGTTTTAGAGAATAGGCAGTTTACCAAGGTCCTTCTTCACCATTCTAGAACATGATCTCTCATGGTCATCATCTTTTCATATAACACAGTGTTGGATTTGGTTTTCTGCTATTTAGAATTTTTGCAAACATAAGTGATAATTAGTGAATATTTTTTTCTGTCCTTTTGAATAGCTAGTATGTTTCTTGATGATTTTTAGTTATGCCGTAGAGAGAGAATTCTGCATTCTTTTGTGTCAGACTTCTCATACCTGTTTTAACTTTACTGATCCTCTTTCCAAAGACATCAGTTCCCAGCTTTTTCTTCAGTTAATATGCTTGCATCTTCTTTAATCTTTATTAGTGTGCATAATGATCTTTTGTCTGTGCTTTTTAGTGCATTTTCCCCAATGCCTATCACATAGTATGTTTCAAATACATATTTCTTGAATTGAATAAACAACATTATCTACAAATATTTCTGTGATATTTCCAGTTACTACTTTTTTTGCTCGCATCTTAGCAGGAACTCAGTTGGGATTGTTTTAATGAATCTTAACACTTTCACAAATATATGTTTAGTGCATTGAATTAGAATTTAGATTCTTTTCACTAGTACCATGTTATCATAATAATATATTTTTATATACCTTCTGTTCTAATACTTTTTGTTTTCTAGGGCACGGACATAGTCATTCCCTCTTTAATGGTGCTCTAGATCCAGTACATGGCCATGGAGAACATTGCCATAGTCATGAAGTGAAGCATGGTGCTGCACATAGCCATGATCATGCTCATGGACATGGACACTTTCATTCTCATGGTGAGTACAGCAGAAACATTTTTAAGTAGATAGCCTTCTAAGTAATCAAGATTTATATAGATTTATATATAGTCAACTTCTTTTTTGATAAATCAGTCTAAATGGTTCCAAAATAAGTTCATTTCTAATATACATTAAAGTAATTTGGTGTAAGGCAGTGAGTATAGTTTTTTTTTTTTCAGTGAGTATGTTTTAAGATGCCTTGATTTTAATTAAGTATCAATGAATGAGAAACAATTGCAATTTAGCAAATGAAAATCTTTGATTTTTTTAAAAGTATCATGAGGCTTTTTGTGCTATATAGTCCTATAAAATACTATAAATGTTTTCAATTTTTCACATTTTTATTTTATTTTATTGCCGTTTATTGCCTGATATTTACCTCCATCTTTCTTTAGTGCTCTGTATACTGCTTTTTATATCATTTAGATAATAAGTTTCAGGGTACTTCTCGACTTAATATGTAGTTAGTTAAATTATATTTTTTAAAGTTTATGAATTTTAGAATATCAATCAATAAAAGCTATTGACACAATTCAATTAATCTTTAAATAGATTATATGTTCAAATAGTATTTGCCTGCAGATAGAGTCAAAAGTTTAGATTTGAAAATTTGAGAGGTACCTTGGAGAATGAGCATCGAATTTTGCAGTCTTTAAATATTTTGAATACTTTCTTGAGATATGATTGACATACAAAAAGGTATTCATATGTAGTATATATAACTTGATGAGTTTGGAGATAAGTATATACCTGTGAAACCATCACCATGGTTTAAACCATAAACATATCCATCACAACCAAAGTTTCTTTCTGCACCCTTTATTCTTTTAATCATTTTTTAAAAATTTATTGTGATAAGAACACAACATAAAATCTACCATCTTAGTTGGGCATGGTGGCGCCTGCCTGTAATCCTATTGACTTGAGGCTGAGGCAGGAGGATTGCAATTTCAAAGCCAACCTCCGAAATTTAGAAAGGCCCTAAGTTTAGACTTAACTTAGTAAGACTGTGTCTCAAGATAAAAAGTAAAAAGGGCTGTGGATGTGGCTCAGTGGTTAAGTACCCCTGGGTTCAATCCCCACTACCAAAAACAAACAAAACAACAACAACGAAACTATCTTGTTGGCAAAATTTGAAGTATACAATACAGTATTAACTTTAAATGCTATATTATGCTATACAGCTCTCCAGAACTTACCTAGAAAGTTTGTAAAGGTTCTAACTGAAACTTCATACCCTTGGACTATTCTCCATCTCCACCTCCCTCCAGCTCCTAGTAACCATAATACTACTGTTTCTATGAGTTTGACTATTTTAGATTCCTCATGTTAGTGGTATCTTATAGTGCAGGTCATTCTGTATCTGGTGTATTCATTTAACATATCATACTCCAGGTTCATCCATGTTGTCCCAGATGGCAGGATTTCTTTTTTCCTTTTTTTTTTTTTAATATCCTATTGTGTATATACCAGTTTTTCTTTATCCATTTGTTTTAGTAGTATTGTTTTTTTTTTTTTTTTTGCTGCTGTGACTGAAAGACCTGACAAGAAAATTTTAGAGGAGGAAAAATTTATTTGGGGGCTCACAGTTTCAGAGGTCTCAATCCATAGACAGCCATCTTCATTCTTTGGGGGCAAAAGAGAGGCAGAACATCATGGTGGAAGAATGTGGTAGAGGAAAGTAGCTCACATGAGAGAGATTCCATTCACCAGATACAAAAATATATACCCCCAAGGCACATCCCCAGTGACCCACCCCCTCTAGCCACACCCTACCCACATTCACTTCACATTCACTTAGTTAATCCTGTCAGGGGATTAATTCACTGATTGTGTTAAGGCTTTCATAACCCAATGATTTCTCCTCTAAACCTTCTTGCATATTCTCACACATGAGCTTTTGGGGGACACCTAATATCTGAATCAAACACCATTCATTGGTTGGTGCACATTTAGGTTGCTTCTATGTCTTGGTTATGGTGAATAGTGCTTTGGAGGTACAGATATCTCTTTAAGATCCTGTTTTTAATTCCTTTGGACATATACCCAGAAGTGGAATTGCTGATGACATGGTAGTTGTGTTTGTAATTTTTTGAACCTCTATATTCTCTTCCATAGCATCTTTACCAATTTACATTCCCGCCAACAGCATACAAGTGTTCCTCTTCTCCATATCTTTGCCAATACTTATTATCTTTTGTTTTTGTGATAATAGCCATCCCAAGAGGTATGAAATGATATATATTGTTTTGATTTGAATTTCCCTACTACTGATGTTGAATACATTTTAGTATACCTGTTGGCCAGTTGTACATTCATTTGGAGAAATTTCTATTCAGTTCCTTTGGCCACTTTTTTAGTCAGGTAATCTTTATTTTCTCTTAAGTTGTTTGAGTTTTATGTATATTTTGGGTATTTATTATCAGATATATAGTTTTCAAATATATTCTTTTATTTTTGTTATTTGTTTCCTTGCTGTGCAGAACCTTTTTAGTTTGATGTGTGATTCCCCTAGTCTATTTTTTCCTTTTGTTGCCTCTGTAAATTTCTAAAATTTGTGCTTCAACACCTTGCTTTTCCATCTTTTTTGCTTATATGCGTCATAGCTTAATAGTTTTTAAAATCTGCATATCACACACATTTATAATGATTTCTAGAAAAATTTTGATGAGTTGGCAAATAATATAATATTTAATATATATTATACATATGCTATTATATATATGTAATGTTTGAAGTTGAAACTCTTACATCAGTGTATTGAGTATATTAATGGACTCCAAATACCTTACTGACTTAAGAACATACTGTCACCCATTGTAAAATATAATCACACATACATTTTTACATAATCCTGATTTCTTTAAATTTGTCCTTCATTTCACTTCCTTTCCTGTATTTTATAATAATGGAATTTGTTTGTATTAAGTCTTTATTTGATTATCTGTCATCATTTTTGGCAATAAAATATGTACAAAAAATTTTTTCTATAATACTTAGCATTCAGACATTGCTTTTAAATGGAATTATTGTAGTCTTGAGTACAAAGTCAATCAGAATAGTTCTATCTCAAATTTGATATATAATTAGTAACATAAAAGGCAACATTTTATTTGAAATACCTATCTCAATCAGGTGATTGGAGCTCTCATTAAAATTATTTTATAGATAAATTATGCTTATTGGCATAAAGCAAGATTTTTAAAAATTTATTATTTTTTAAGACGTTGATGGACCTTTATTTTGTTAATTTATTTATATGCTGTGCTGAGAATTGAACCCAGTGCCTCACATATGCTAGGTAAGCACTCTACCATTGAGCCACAACCCCAGCTCCTAAAAAAGTTTTTATATCAGTTTGGTTCCTATTTTTCATCTTTATAAGTACTAGTTACCCTAAATAGGAAGAATTCTGTTATAGCAGTTTTAGTCAATTCTTTGACTACCTTCAGAATTATGTTCCAAAAATTATAGTAATCTATCATCAGAAAATGATTTTTGTTGCTCTATTAATTGGAAGTTCTAGTAACTAATCCCTATATTTTATTAAGATCAAAGATTTAGAAACCACATTGCTTACAAAATGATTTCGTGGCCAGTCATTAAAGTCATTACTTTACTAACATTTACACCAATATTTTCAAGTGACCCCTTACTTGTTGCCTAGAATTTTTGTTTACATCCTGGACAATGCACTGTAGCATTATTATTTATAGATGAAAGGTATTTCTTTTTTGGTCAAGGAGGAGAGGGTAGGTGGCAAAAAAGAACGGGCATGATATTGGGACACTCTTGGGTAGATCAGTTTTAGAAAAGCTTTTTTTTTGTTTTTCTCATTTATCCTGTTTTCTTTTTATTAGGTGATAAGGGCTTGTATTTTCAATGTGCACTATCTGTGGACTGACCATGCCATGAGATGATAGAAGGGCTGGAAGGAGAGCATACATCTGGGAAAAGAGACTGAAGTGATAAATAGAAACTTTAATAGATCCCCAAATTATGTTTGCAGCCCTGGAAAACTGCTAGAATGTACCTTGATGAAGAGATTAATGGAATCCTTTCCTTTTAACATGCTTAAGAGTACTGGCAAAGCTGCCTTAGTGAGAATAATGAGTGACTGACAATACAGATTTTATGCATGGTATGTGAGGGCAAGGGATTAGGTTTCATAATACCAAATCAGGCTTGGTAAAACTTCCCCTGGTGGAAAAATGCTCACTGTGTTGGGCATTTGAATTTGAACAGTTCAGATCTGTTTAGTGAGAAATTATATTGCAACAAAAAGGGAGATGATGGAGGTGGAGAGAAGGGAGAGAGAAGACCAAAAATTGAAAACTATTTTAGCTTAGGAAAGCTTTTGAATTTTGTGAATCTAGAAACTGAATCCCTCATGTGTGTTATTTCTTATTAATTAACTGGAATGTTTTACTTGTTTTTTTTTTTTTAATCTAAAACTGAATAATTCTTTTACTTCATGGAATTAATGATTGCAAAATATGCAAAATAGGACTCTAGAATTAACCTAAAGAGAGTTTCTGCTAATTGTTTATGAAATTTAACAGAGACAAAATTGAAATTAAAAGGCGAAAGAAATAATCTGTTAATGAAACTAGTTTCTATTGTCCTTCCTCTCCAGTGGACTGTGAGTTCCTTGAGCTCAAGGACTGCCTTATTGACTTCTTTATTCTAGCACAGTGCCAAGAACAACTCATTAAATATTTATTGTATTAAAAACATGCCATTTATATTTGTCAGTCTTATTAAATTGTTGAGTAAATTTGTTTGGATTTTACTCTTCTCCCATTCCCCACACAAAACAAGTAACAACAGGTTGAATATTCCTTATCCAAAATGCTTGGTACCAGAAGCATTCCAGATTTAAAAAAAAAAAAAAAATATATATATATATATATATATTATGTATTTACATAGGCTTTACCAGTTGAGCATCCCTAATCTAAAAACCAATTTTGGAGCATTTGGATTCCAGATTAGGGATGCTTAATCCATAATTCAAGAAAAAGAAAGAAAAAAAAAAGAATTCAACCTTGAATTTAAATGTTACAATTACTTGGTGGGGAAGTATATTAAAATGCATGGTATTTTTTGGGGTTTTTTTTTTTTGAGGGAGATACTGGGGATTGAACTCGTGCACTCAACCTCCGAGCCATGTTCCCAGTTCTATTTTGTATTTTATTTAGAGACAGGGTCTCACTTAGTGCCTCTGTATTATTGAGGCTGGTTTTTAACTCGAAATCCTCCTGCCTCAGCCTCCTATGCTACTGGGATTACAGGTGTGTGCCACCATACCTGGCTACAAAAGCATTTTTAAAATTTCACTAGAAGACACATTTTGTGTTTAAGTTTTAATAAATACATACTTATTTTGGTAGACAGAGTAAATGTTTAAAAAAATTCAGTTATATTTCTTGAGGGTTAGATATTTATGGTAGCCTGATGGTATATTCCAGTAATCATCATCTTAATAAGCAACACTGATAATTCCTAGTTGTTTTGACTGCTCAATATGTGCTAGGAATAGTCTAAGTACTTTGCATGCCTTAACTTTAAAAATTTTCTCATAGTCTAGTGAGGTAGATATAGCCATTATCTTCATGAACTATGACACAAAGAAAACATAGTAATTAGTAAATTAAGAAGCAAAGATTTGAACTCACAGAATCTGACTTCAAAAATTGTGCTCTTAACTTATATTCTCCCTTAAGTATTGTGTAAGCCAGACAGGGGATACTAAAGTAATAGGGCCATAATCTCATTTTGCCCATAAAAGGTATAATCTCATATTTATTGGAATGCTGTGCTATGAGTACAACTAGTTGTATTTTTTTTAAATATTGCTCAAATGTCAGTAATGAAAACACTAAAAATTTATTAATTGCTTGTAAGTCAGTAGGATACAGTGTGGGAATTCTATTCCTATGGCAATTTGGGGATCTAGGCTCCTTCAATCTATGGGATTCCTAGATGTTAGCACAGTCTGCTAGATTCTCTGCATCAAGCTGGAAGGAGAATATATAGATCATGTTGGACATTCTTATGACCCTGTAAGTGATTTTCACCACATATTTCTTTGTCTACAACTTAACCAAAGAACACCCCTTACTCGAGGGAGCCTAGGAAATACAGTTTAGTTGCATATCCAAGAGGAACAGGAAATGAGTTTGGCAAGCAACTAGCCATTGTCTGCCACAAATAATAAATTATTTAAGAGGATTTTAGATTTAACATAGGTGGGAGTTGTGTTATCTTATATCACTCCTATAATAGTACAGTAGACCATACCTTTAAAAGTACTGATGTCAAACTATCTTTGTAGATCTACTACCTGTAGACAAATCTGGTGCCTTGTTGGAGTGCTGGCTTTTTAAAATAGTGTACTTATGACTATCTGTGGCCCTTTCCTGGTAGCTACATCTTTTCACAGCAGTACTGTACTCTTTTGCTTTTATATTCCTTTGTTACATTGTTGCAATGCTTTATTAATGCTGCAGTGATAAGGATATGTTGTCCCTTTTGTGCTCTTGGCCAGCATCCAGTGACTATAGGCAAGCACTGTCAGCTCAGAAAGCTTATCAGTCTTTATAATCCCTTTAAACAAATTTTGCTTATCTTTTGCTTATTTTTTTTTTTGCTTCAGTGTATAGCTGATTAGTAATATTAAATGTATTTAGTCATAGGAATTTATCATATTTGTTCATCTTTTTTTGAACTTTTTATAAGTTCATTTTAGTTATACAAAATATTACAGTTATACCAGCATGGAATATAATTTGTTCTAATTCAGTCCCCAGTATTTCCCATTTCCATCCTTCTCTCCCCTCTCATTCCTTCCTCTTGTTCCCTTTATTCTACTTATTAATTTTTTTTAAATTAGTGCCTTGTGGATATACATAAAGGTGAGATTCACTGTGATTTGTCATATGTGTACCTAAGAGAGTTTGGTCGGGTTCATTCCATTTTTTTTTTTTTTTCTTTTCCCATTCCTCCTCCTTATACCTTTGATCTCGATTCTGTTTTCATGGAAACCCCCCACCCCCACATTTTTTTTGTTTTTTTCTTATTTTGGTCTGACTTCCACATATTAGAGAAAATATTTGACCCTTGACTTGATTTTCTGGGTCTGGTTTATTTTTTTCGTCTCCGTTCCATCCATTTATTGGCAGATGCCATAATTTCATTTTTCTTTATTGTTGAGTAAAACTCTATTGTGTATCTACACACACACACACACACACACACACACACACACTATATTTTCCTTTTCTGTTCATCTGTTGACAGGTATCCGTCTATACTGATTTCATAGCTTAGCTATTGTGAATTGTGCTGCTATAAACATGATATGACTACATCCCTGTAGTATTCTAATTTTAGTTCTTTTGGATATATACCAAGGAGTGGGATAGTTGGATCATTTGGTGGTTCCATTCCTACTTTTTTGAGGAATCTTCAAACTGCTTTCCTGAGTAGTTGTTCTAATTTGCAGTCCCATCAAGAATGTATGACTGTACCTTTTCCCCCAAAGCCTCACCGACATTGATCATAATTTGTTTTCTTTTTTTTTTTTTTAACCACCAATAGCATTTTATTTGGAAATTTCTATGTATTACATAGGTATTTACTTCCTCTCATCCCTACTCCTACCCCAAACCTCATAAAGATTTAAAAAAAAAAAAAAAAGTACAAAAATCTCTCATCTGATTTCTCTAAAGTCTTAGGTTAAAAAACATAAGCGGTGCTTTTCCTTGAGGGTGCTGCTCTGAGGAAAATGCGGTCCGTCCTGTGCTCACTACAGACTTCTTCTCCTTCTGGGGAAAAAATGGTCAATGCCTCAGCTTCCTTCTAATAAATTCCTTTCTCAATTATTAAACATTATCATTCCTCACTTGGCACCTTCTTAGAAACTTGATTGTTGGATGCATTTTTCATTTGGCAAAAATTCAATGTGGCTTTGTGTGGGATGTTTAAGCATAAGAAACAGCAGTGTTGATGTTCTGGTTTTGAGAGGGAAAACAGAGAGACGCATACGTTCCCTGGAAGAACAAATGTAGGAGACGAAGATGGGGTGTGCAGGGTTAACAGGGCTGATAGACATTACTCGGTTTGAATTCTGTGGCTGTCAGCTACCAGAGACTGTAGTGTAGGCCAGAATATAAATCTCTTCAAGAACAAGTTTGTTTAGGCTCTGTGAGATGACACAGCCTGCTTCATTTTGTTCCAAGTGTATCAGAGCAGACATGCACAGCAAGGAGAAGTATGGGTCATCCACAGGGGGCAGAAACCTGTAAATAAACACATGGAGGCATTTCTGCAAATGCCCCGTCAGTCCAGGCAATAGGTGAAGAAGAGAAGCATTCTATTAAAGTACACTTCGATCCTAACTCACCCAAGGCCCCTGGCTTCTTAGAGCCAATATATTCAAGGCCAAAATTAAGCTGAGTTACATGTCACTTGGAAGCTGGTTTGATGGGGCCACTGCAGAAGACTTGGCTTTGCCTGCGAGGCAGCGAGTCTACCCAGAAGGGTATGCCTTGATGATCTTCACGTCGTCCACAGGGCGGTCCTGGGAGTTTGTTTCCACCATTCCCACTCGATTTACCATTCCTATGCCCTGGCACACTCGGCCAAAAATGGTGTGTTTGCCATCAAGCCACTGGGTGGGGGCAAGAGTCACAAAGAACTGGCTGCCATTGGTGTCTGGCCCTGCATTGGCCATTGCAAGAATTCCAGCCCCAGTGAACTTCAAGTCTGGATGAAGTTCATCTTCAAACTGTTTGCCATAGATAGATGCACCACCTCGACCTGTCCCTGTTGGGTCACCGCCCTGGATCATGAAATCTTTGATGATTCTGTGGAATTTGGTGCCATTGTAGTAACCCCGACGAGCCAACTCAGCAAAGTTCTTACAGGTCTTCGGAGCGTGCTTCCAGTACAGCTCCAGGACAATGATTCCCATGCTGGTCTCCAAGTAAACGTTGGGCGGCTGCCAGGAGTCTGGGGGAATGGCTGCCATAACGAAGCCCATAATTTGTTTTCTTGATGATTGCCATTCTTACTGGAGTAAGATGAAATCTCAATATAGTTTTTATTTGTATTCCCTGATTGCTAGAGATGTTGAACTTTTTTCGTATCTTCAATAGCTATTTGTAGTTCTTCTTTTGAGAAGTGTTCAGTTCTTTTGTCCAATTGTTGATTGGGTTTTTTTTTTTTTTTTTTTTGGTGTTAAGTTTTTTGAGTTCTTTACATATTCTAGATATTAATCCACTGTCTGAGAAATAGGTACCAAAGATCTTCTGCTATTCTGTAGGTTCTCTCTTCACACTCTTGTTTCCTTTACTATGTAGAAACTTTTTAATTTGATGCCTTCCCACTTTTTGAATCTTAGTTTTATTTCTTGCTCTTTAAGAATCTCATTAAAGAAGTTGATGTCGGTACCAATACGTTGGAGTGTCGAGCCTACATTTTCTTCTGACAGTTGCAGAGTATCAGGTCCAATTCCTTGGTCTTCAGTTCACTTTGATTTGACTTTTATACAGGCTGAGAGATAGGAATTAAGTTTTATTCTTCTACATATTTATGGATGTCCAGTTTTCCCAGCACCTTTTGTTAAAAAGGCTATCTTTTCTCCAGTCTATGTTTTTGGTACCTTTGTCAAGTTCCAGATGACTATATCCATGTGGGTTTGTTTCTATGCTATTCTATTGGCCTTTATGTCTGTTTTGGTGCCAATACCATGCAGTTTTTGTTACTTGAGCTCTGTGGTAGGATTTGAGGTCTGAAATTATGATGCCTTCAGTATCTTTTTTTATTCAGGATTGCTTTGCCTATTAATAAAATTAGATATAAAAAAGAATCACCATAGATACTACTGAAATCCAAAGGATCACTGGAAACTATTTTGAAGATTTATACTCCAATAAAGTAGAAAATCTTAAAGATATTGACGATTTCTAGAGACATGTGACCTATCCAGATTGAACCATGAGGATATAGAAAGCTTAGACCAATATTAAATAATGAAATTGAAGCAGTTGTTAAAAGCTCTCCAACAAAGAAAAGCCTAGGACTAGATGGATTCCTAGCTGAGTTCTACTAGACTTTTAAAGAACTAATGCCAATCCTTCTAAAATTATTCCATGAAATTGAAAAGGAGGGAATACTGCCAAATCCATTTTTTTTTTTCATTTTTAATCGGAAAGGCATTTTTTTTTTCTTTTTTTGCAGTGCTAGGTATTGAACCTAGGTACTCTCTGACACCAAGCTACATCCCCAACCTTTTAAATTTTGTGTCAGGCTCTTGCTAAATTGACCAGTCTGATCTCAAACTTGGGATCCTCCTGCCTTTGGGTCACTGTGTTCTAGAAATGAGTTTGGGTCACTGGTGTTCTTGAAATGTGCTACTGCACTTAGGTATAAAGGCAAAAAAAGAATTTAAATTTTTTTAATTTCTTTTGAATAGAAAACTTGCTATATCCATCTAGAAACTATTGAAAAACTACTGTTTGTCATAATCAAGTTATCTTGGATTCATTTCTAACTGGACTTCATTTCTTAGACTTCTTTTAACTTCAAACACTACATTTAGTTTCGTCTGAATTTTCCAATTATAAAAGCATTAGAGTATATTTTATGAATGTTAGCATATTTTCACAGTTTTGAATTTCTTGTGCTTTTTATTTTTTAAATACAGTATTTCTAAAATACTCTGTATCCTTGATGCATTTTAAATTGCCTGTACTAGATTTATCACTCCTCAGTTACTTTATTAAATTTAAAAAATAATTTTATAGGTCTCATGTGGCTAAATAGTCACACATCCTTCATGATACAATTGAATGAAAAGGACTCAGAATTGCAAAAATTTGAATAAGGAATTGAAGACATGTTTTAAAATAATTTAACTTAATTCTCTACAGATGGTCCTTCCCTAAAAGAAACAACAGGACCCAGCAGACAGATTTTACAAGGTATGACAAATTTTTATGTTTCTCAATGTTATGAAATTGATTTCATAATTTTCAGTTGTCTAGAGTTTTCCTTTAAGAAAAATACATAACAAAATATTTATGTTTAAAATGTTATTTCTTCTTAAGTGATTTTTTTAAATATATATACTACTTAGGTATATTAACTGATTTTTTTTTTTTTCACTTGACTGTTAAAAAAAAAATTTCAGAAACTACGAAGTTTAAATATAAGTAATTGCCAGGCTTGTAGACATAGTAATGCTATAGTAGTATTCTGTTTGCCTTCATAGGATTATTATATAGATTTTCCAAGAATAATAATCAGTATATTCTTATGTTGTGGGGAAAATTTAGAGCTAAAAATGTAATGCAGGATAAGACCTCTGTCATATTTGTAGATTTCAGTTAATGGTACCTAATCAAGTGTTATATGTCATGTAAAATGAGACATTATAAAGTTTTATAAGTGAAAGAAAATCAGCTTTGTCTAGAAACTATTGTAGTTTCCATTTTGGAGATGTGAACCAATATTTGGCTCTGAGGTTCCAGTTAGACTTTATTGCTAAGGGTTCCTAATTCCCAGCTTTATTTACTTTTGATTCCAGTCTGAGTTTTTCAGTAGCTTCTAGTCTAGTCAGTACTGTACCTGTTTTCTCCACTATTTCTTGATCTAACATTTGCTTTTTATTTTTTCACTGAGAATGTTTCTCCATATTGAAGAATTCATTTTCAAAAGGCTTAATAAGTGTATCTTCCATTCACTAATTATCCATTTACAAATTATAGAGAATTATTTCGGAATACCCTTTGCTGAAATAGCTTGTAATCATGTATATTTGATACAGCTATATCATTTTCTATAAGTTAGTTTTGATAATAGTTTAGTTTTGAAAATTATCATGAGAGAAAAAGAAAGGATCTAGCCTTCTACTTATCTTTTATACAGCTAATATTAAAATCAGTTTGTATTTTCTGATTATCTATCAATTTATTGTGACTGAAGGAAACCAGTAGGTAGCTGAAGGACAGATATAGCTGGTTCAAACTTTCCTGCAAAACTACCATGAATACTATGAGTTAACCGAATTTTTCAATTATTTGCTATATCTTGAATAAGAATCCTGGTTTATTAAGTTTGGGAGGATATTATCAACATCCCATCAAGTTTTCCAAGGTTTTAACTTTATACAAGTTAAGCATATTGTTTATGTATTTCTTTAGTGATTTTTCTTCTTAGTTACTATGAAGTAAGCTGGGCTTAGATAGTTAATAACACTTGCTAATGAAAACAGTTTTCAGGTTAGCACATAGCCAGGGACTTTCTAATCTAAGGAAAAATCAAGGACAAGTGATTCTTTTCTTTTTCCTTCCAGTGTCTACAGCTGTTTTCATTGCTGATTTTACCAAAAACACTGCTTAAAATATGTAAAGATTTAATATAAAAGTTTATAGCTTAGGCACTATTTGAGTCAACTTTTTCACTGCTGTGACTAAAAGACCTGACCAGAACAATTGTAGAGGAGGAAAAGTTTATTTGAGGGCTCACAGTTTCAGAGGTCTTAGTCCATAGACAGCTAGTTCCATTCCTGGGGCTCAAGGGCATCTTGGCAGAAGAGTGTGGTAGAAGGGAAGCAGGTCACATGATGATCAGAAAACAGAGAGAGAGATCTCCACCTGCCAGATACAAATATATACCCCAAAGCCATGCCCCTAGTGCCTCACCTCCCCCAGCCACACCCTGCCTGTCTTCAGCTACCACTCAATTATTCCCATCAGGTGATTAATTTATTGAGTTGAGGGTCTCATAACTTAATCATTTCTTCTCTGAACCTTCTTGCATTGTCTTTTGGGGCACACCTCACATCCAAACTATAGCAGGGATCTTCATCCCACTTTGATGTATATCTTTCTCTAAAAAGTATTCTCTGACAAAACTTACTGTGGAAAAATTTCTTAAGAAAGCAGCTAGCTTTCTGAAGAATAGTTATAATGAATCAAAACTCTATACAAATGAAAAATTAAATGTAGGTATTAAAGGATGAGTTATATTTGGTACTAGACGTAAATTCTGTAGTAGCAGGTGAACTGAAATATCATATCTTAGCACACAAGAGATTCAATTGGACTTATTAGTGATCAGTTTTTAAATTATTAGAAATTGTTTTAAGTTAAATCTGTTTCTATACGTAAAAATAATTATAGTTTACTTTTTATTGTTCAGGGAATAATAAAAAATAGGTATTTCTAAGTTGGGTACATGCTTTTTGCACATTATCTATTTCTTTTCAGATAGTGTAGTTAAGCTATGCGTGGCAGCGCTTGCCAATAAATCCCAGTGATTGGGAAGCTGACCCAGGAAGATCGCAAGTCGGCAACTTAGTGAGACCCAAGGCCAACGTCGGCAACTTAGTGAGACCCTGTGTCAAAATAAAAATAAAAAGAACTGGGGATGTAGCTCAGTGGTTAAGTGCCCTTGGGTTCAATCCCTAGTACCCACCCACCCCAACACACACACACACACACACACACACACAAACACACACACACAAAGTGACTCTAAGGCAAAATATAAAAAAAATAAGGTCAGGTAGGGTACTTGATTGTATTGAAGAGTATTGTTATATTTAGCAAGCCATTATTAAAGTTTAAGAAATAGCATTTTATTACATAGTAAATTTTACTCATTAAGGATTTAAATGTTGAATAAGTTATTATCTTAGTTGAGTCTTTTCAGAAAAAAAATTAAAAATGTATGTGAAACTTCCTTCTTGATATTTTTAATGTTTTCCAGGCAAGTATCACTTATTAAATAATAACATCTGAGTTCTTGAGCAGTTAGAGCATCAATATCAGTGTCCCATCAATGTAGTATTTAATTTTTAAAAGTTCAACATGTATTTTATATTCATTTAAAAATATTTAAATCCCTGGTTTCTTTCACTTTGAGTTTGAGCATAGTATATAACAAATGTAGGTAACAAAAACTTTAAGATAATTAATACATATATCATCAACATAAGCAGAATTAGGGGCCACAGGAAATTCTAGTTCCAAATGGTAATAATTTTAATCACCAGCAGAGGGCTCTGTATGTACATGGATTCATAATTAGAAAACTTCCTTGACCAGTTCATTTAGGCTAATGCAGTTTCCTTCCCTAAATAAATTATTAAAACTTTTGTATTCTTTTAAGCCAGAGATACAGAGATGAATGTTTGTAGTTTATCATATTTTCCTTTTTAATGTTTGCAGTTTTTAAAAATCAGTTCGTTTACTTCTTCATTTAAATTATTCCTGTAAGAGCAAGTATAATTTACCAGATAGTTTAACCCTGTTGATTTTAAAAACATTATTTCAATTTAGTAAATATACTTGATAACTGATTTTCCAAATTGATATTTAGATGTCTATATGATTTTAAGAGTATAATTCAAAGACATTTTCTGTTTTAAATTGAACGGAAGCTATGGTGCTTACTTTTATTATGCTTTATTTTTAGGTGTATTTTTACACATTCTAGCAGATACACTTGGGAGTATTGGTGTAATTGCCTCTGCAATCATGATGCAGAATTTTGGTTTGATGATAGCAGATCCTATCTGTTCGATCCTTATAGCCATGCTTATAGTTATAAGGTAAGTATTATTATGTTACTCACAGGTATTAAAATGAGAGGTAGGTGAAAAATATTGAATTTCTTTAAAAAAATTCCTACATAAATTCTCTTCTCACTTTTATAATTTTTTTCTTTTTCTCATTTATTTCTTTTATGGAATTTGACCTTTTTTTTTTTTTTTTTTTTGGCACTAGGATTAAACCCAGGGTTTTGTATGTGCTAGGCACTCTACCACTGAACTCCATCCCAAACCCTTTTTTAAAAATTTTATTTTGAGACAGAGTCTCACTAAGTTGTCAAGGCTGCCCTTAATCTTGCAATTCTCATGCTTCAGCCTCCTCATTAGCCATATTGTCATTGCAGAAGTCTTTTGCTTATTGACATAAATGTATGTTTAATTCCCACCTAGATTATAAAATTCTTGAGGAATCATCTCTTAGCTCTTTTCTTTTTATTCCCTACCATAGTCCCAATGTACATGTAAAAGCATTTGTGTGTATAGATGTATAACTTCTCAATAAACATTTGCTGAATTAGATTGTATAGTAATTATCACCAAAGTTTCTCTTACCCTGAGACATTTTATTATTGCTTTAATTTTTATCAGAATAATATGTTCCTTTATTTTATGGTCATCAGTTATTTTAAAATTTGCATATAATGTCTGTATTAGAGTATTTTTTTAATATTTATTTTTTAGTTGTAGTTGGACACCGATATCTTTATTTTATTTATTTATTTTTATGTGGTGCTGAGCATCGAACCCAGGCCCTCGCACATGCTAGGCGAGTGCTCTACACTGAGTGATAACCCCAGCCCCTATATTAGAGTATTTTTATGTTTCCAAATGATTTTACCCTCAGGTTCTTTTGTAATGATAGCAAAGGCCTACTTGAGGTCAGTCTGATGATTTTTATAGCTCATAGTTGATTAGAGTAGATTGTGATGAAATCATAATGTTAAAATTACTCACAAGTGGAGATTTTGAAGTTTCTTTCTAAAGAATATATAAATGTAGATTAATTTTAAATTTCTGTATATTATTAGTAAAAGGAAGCAACTCTGTTATACCAAAGTCTTTCTAAAGCTTAGAATGCCTTTTCTTCATCTTTGGAAATCTTATTACACTTTCTTGAAAGTTTGGCTTAGGTGTTACATATTCTGTGAAACCTAACTGCTGATGAATTTGGTAAGTCTTATATCTGTATTTCTTTATAGATGCATTCAGTAGTCATTTTATTTTTTATGTATTATATTTCTTAGTTGCTTCTAATATTTCTTAAGAGTATTATCACTTTTTTTTGTCTCCATTATTATTATCCTAATTCTATCTATTATATCTTGCTTGGAAAACTATGACAGTCTCCTTTCTGTCTCTTGAAACTCTCCATGCTGGCTAAAATTATCTTTTTTTTGATGAGGATAACAAGATATATAAAAGTCATCTTTTTTAAAAAAATACTTTTTCATTGTTTTAAGTGGGTATCTAATTCTTACAAAAAGTTGGCACACTGATTCTGAATAAAAAGAAATTTGTGCCTTTTTTCAACATTAGGGAATTACTTTTTCTAACCCCAAATAGGGACTTCTTATTTAGTTCTGTTCTCATTCATTTATTCCATAAATATAAGTAAGCAAACAGAGAAAACTTTTTAAAAACTGAAATATAACACACTTAAAAAAAACTGCACAAATAATTTTCAGCAAATAATTTCTTAAAAGTAGATTCTTTTAGCCAGGTTGAAAAAGACAACATCCAAAGACAACTACTGATTTTTCACTGTAATAGGAGAGAGAGAAACAGATTAATAAGTAAACCACTCAAACATCACTATTTTTATTGTGCTGAGAGTTAAAATAGGATACGTGATGTGACTGAGTTGCCACTTTAATCTGAGTTAAGACTTCTAAAGTGAGGGTCTTTAGGTTAAGATCTGAATGTTGTGAGAGAACTGGTGGGAGGAAGAACTTTTTAGTTTAAGAACCAGCCAATATAAAAGCCCCATAGTGAAAACAGCTTTGCCACTGAAAGGAGGCTAGTATGGCTGAAATAGGGAGTAAGAATGGTTTAAGATAAAGTTGGAATGGGCTAAGAGAAATTATGCAGGGCTAGAAGTTTGGATTTTGTGCCAAGTGCAGTGGGACATCTTCATAAAGGAGTGACAATATTTAATTTATATTTTAAAAATCATTTTGACTGAGGTGTTGGAAATAGGGGCACAAGTACAGACAGATGGACCAGTCATGGACCAAGTTAGAGATCATGGTGGCTTGGCTTAAGGTACTGATATAGAAAATGGGGAGATGTGGATCAAATTAGAAAATGCAGTAGGGTTGAGCCAACAAGATTGGCTCATGGATATGAATGTATGGGTCAAGACTAAGTGGACAAGGGAATCAGGGATAATTCCTAGAATTTTTACCTGCACAATTAGGTGAATGAAAGTGTTGTTAATTGAAAGAAGATTGGAAAAAGAGTAATGTTTTTGTTAGTTTTTGAAGGGGCCTATAAATCACAAGTTCTTTTTTCAGTTGTCACAGGTTTAAGATCTTTCATTAGACATTTATATAGAAATTTTAGGTAGGTAGTATACAAATATGGAATTATTGGTAGCAGTCAACTGTACATAGATTTTAGAAATAGTCCACATGTAAGCGGGGCATGGCAGTGTATGCCTGTAATCCCAGTGGCTTAGGAGGCTGAGGCAGGAGGATCTTGAGTTCAAAGCTGGCCTTAGCAAAAGCAAGGTGCTAAGTAGCTCAGTGAGACCCTCCCTCTAAATAAAATGCAAAATAGGGCTGGGGATGTGGCTCAGAGGTCAAGAACCCCTGAGTTCAATCCCTGGTAACCCTCCCCCCAAAAAAGAAAATAAATATTCCACATGTAGATTTAAAGTCATGGAGTCAAGCTACCATTCCCCTTACTTCTATTTTCTTGGAAAAATGCCCCTTAATATCATAGTTCTTGCTGAAACGTAGCTTCGGGGTCCCTTTCAATATAGTATTTTAGGCAGCCACAACCAGCCATATAAAACCTGTTTGTCATCTTTAGCTAGGACCTACTGACCTCTTTTTTATTTAATTAATTAATTTTTTAAAGTTGTTAATGGACCTTTTTTTAAAAAAAAAATTTATATGCGGTGCTGAGAATTGAATTTAACCCAGTGCCTCACACATTCCAGCCCATTTTTAGGTTAATTCTTTTTTTTTTTGGTGGTGCTGCTGGGGATTGAACCCAGGGCCTTGTGCGTGCAAGGCAAGCACTCTACCAACTGAGCTATATCCCCAGCCCCTACTGACCTCTTCAAAAGTTTTTGTAGTTTACATATATACATAGTTTCAGGTCATAGAATTGTATTCCTTTTCATTATTGTAGATTCCTTTCATTATTGTTAAGGTTTAGCATTTATATTATTTGCTCTTTTATCTGATACTTAAAGTAATATATGCTGATTGTAAGAAATTTATTACTAAATGTATGACAGGTATTAAAATGTTTTGTAATCACACTGTTTGGAGATAACAGATAACTTAAAAATCATTTGTCAAATGCTATGATGCCTTGTATTGGGCTATTAACAAGATAGGCAAATGCCTGCCATTGTGGAGCTTACATTTTAATAAGTGAAATAGTAAAGCAAACAAATGTGCAAACAGATAATGTAATCATTTTGTGATAAATGTGCTAAAGCAGGATAAAGATATACTATTTTAGAAAAGCCTGACAAGGCTACTTCATAAGGTGACATTTGAACAGAAACATGAATGGAAAGAGAGAGACATAGGACTACTCAGAGGAAGAGCGTTCCTAGTAGATGGAGCTTCATTTATAAATACACAGAGGCAGGGACATGCCTGACATGATTGAGGAACAGCAAGTGGAGCAGTATAGTTGGAATGCAGTGAGCAGAGCAGAGTAGTGGATAGCTAGAGTTCAGGGAACAGATTGGGGTGGAAGATATAAATTTAGGTATCATCAGTTTATATACAGTATTTGAAGCCATGAGGTTAGGTGATTATGCCCAGAGAATAAGGAGAGAGGACTGAGGACTAAGCCCTAGGAGAGGTGAGCAGTAAGAGGCAGCAAAAGCAAGGAAGAACAAAGTGGAGTGCTGTGAGGTGGGAGGAAAGACATGAACACATGTTTCAGAATCTATGTGAAGAAAAGTGTTTCAAACAGGAGGGAATAAGCTGAATGCTCCTGGGAATGATAATTGGCAACTTATAACAGACATTCAGGAGGGTAATAAGAATGAAAACCTGATCAGAGTAGCTTCAAGAGAGAATGGGAAGGGAGGAAATTAAAAGAGCAACTACAGTCAACTCCTTTTCAAAGCCTTCTGCTGTAAAGGGGAGCAGTGTGAGTGCCTGGCAGTACTGAGGACCCACTTTGAGGTTTGTGGTCATGAATTTAAAGTGAAAACAACTAGTACGGAAGTCTGTTTTTCTCCAGTCTTATTTAAGCTACTTCGTAAAATTTATGGAATACACAGAGAGCTGGATTTAACAGATTTGTGTTTTGTCAGGTCAGAAAGACAATGCAGGGATTACAATGATGGAAAATTGAGATTTAAAGGTAATGATACATGCTTTAAAGAAGCCATCAGTGGATTAGAGGTTTTTGTTTTGTTATTGGTTTGGAAAGAAGTGTTAGACTGCAGGTATTAAAGGAAGTGATCCAGAAATGGGGAGGTTTATTCACATTGTGAAATGCTCAAAAATTGAGATCCTAAGTCCAAGGTATAATCATAGGGGTGGAGGTTAAGATTATCAAACAGGGGCCAAAGGTTGGATGGATTGTTCGTGTGGACATTTAAAGTAAGAGTAATGAAAAGGGTAGATGTGAAAAGATGATAAACCTGTTGCTAAATCTTTCTTCTGTAACTGAAGGGGACCAATCAAGAATTTTAAGAACTGGTTACAAGGTGTCTGGAGTGTGGAATAATCTGATGGGTGTGGCCTTCAAGGAACTGTATTGTGGGTAGGAGGATGTGGGAGGAACAGTGAACTGAAAGTGTA